TTATGCATCTAGTAGGATACTTGGATGACAACTGGCTTGATTGCCTAATATTTGTCTGCCATGGGATATTGCATTTTCCTTGGCACTTATTTGATATCATCGTGCTCAAAGAAGCAGAGTATGGACTCTTTCAAGTGCTGAAATCGAATATCGTGCTGTTGTTGCTTCAGTCTCTGATATATGTTGGTTACAGAATATGCTCAAGGAGCTTTTTTGGCTGCATCTAATACCCCTCTCTTGTTTTCTGACAATATTGCTACTACTTATATAGTTCCTAATCCGATTAATCATGCCTGCTCTAAGCGTATTAAGCTGGACATTCATTTTGTTAAGTAAAAGGTTCAAGTAGGCAGTTAGATGTTTGCTATGTTGCTATTCAAATTCAGTTAGCTAGTACATTCACCAAGGGTATTTCTTCTACAAGGTTTAATCATTTGGGATCAAAACTCTACATATTACCTCGCACAACTTGTGGGGTTAAAGGGATAAATATACTCTTATAATATGTCCATATATACTACTACTCTTGTATTTTATATTTTTAGGTTTCTGCAACCTAATTCTTTGAAAGTTATAAATAGCACAATGATCTAATCAATAATATTCTCCCAAGGAGTTTTTTCTTGCACTTGTTTAGAACAAGTTCAGGATGAGAATCCTAGAAACGAGTGTTATTCTCAATAAAATTCATTGTTATTCACAGGTTTAAGAAACCATTTGTATGGTCTTTAGAAGGAAAAATAGCCTCTTTTGACAATTGATTGTAACTATTTATGCTAAATCCAAATTTGGTTTTGTTGCTATATTAATGTCAATATCATGCATGTTTTGAACTATATGGTTATATTTGATTAATCATGGCTGTTGAGAGTAGGCTTTATTTATCACTTATATTCCTTAAAAATAGCCATATGAAGTTTGTTATATCCTAGCTTTATTTTTTAGTTGATAATTTACTACTAACTCATTTCATTTTGTAGTTCCTGGAGAGCCTTATCCCATGGAGAAGGACATTCCCCCTGCCCCTGTTCCTGCACCATCGGTTGACAATATATCAGGTATTTGTTTTTCCTTTATGTATGTTGAAGTAAAGCAATGAGAGCTAGTATATTTCAAAAAAACGAAAAAAAGCAATGGAAGCTAGTTTCTTTGAATGCAGTTGATTGGTTCTGGTGCAAGCTAATGTCAAGTGACAAGTTGCATCTATAACAAACAAGGTGTGTAAGTATCAAAGTTATCAGAAGAGCCTGCCATATGATTAGAGGCCCTTGAATCTATAACCCATTTGCCATTTTGCTTTCTAAAATCGGCGAGAAAGTTAGGGCTTCATGTTACAAAGTTTGAAGAAGCTGCTGGGGTTGAATTGTTAGTCAAGAGATAGAGGACGTCTTAGAATCTGTATCACTTCATTAGAAAGTTTCTGGAGTGTTGGCGATTTCTCTAACATGGTGATTCGATTGTTTTAGGTTTATGTGCTTGTAGGATGTAGAATCACTTCTTTTACCCCCAAAATCCTTCAGTGGTTGGCCATTAAATTTTTAACAAGTTTCTCTTATATGTCTCTGTTTACCATATTAATCTCATGTTAACCGCAATAATTACATGTTAAGAGATCCTTATTAGAAAAGTTTATTGTTTTCCTGTTAACCTCATGTTAATCTCATGTTAACCGCAATAGTTACATGTTAAGCGATCCTTTTTAATAATTACATGTTATTGTTTTCTTGTTACTCACTAGAGACTCCAGTAACCAGCCCTTCTTTGTGGATGGATCATTTCACTTCTATGATTCTTCTCCTTTCCACATAAGAATAAGCAGTTGTAGTAAAGGTAGGGATCCTTCCTGTCAACTTAGACTAAATTGGGTCATACTCAGTGTTTAACCAACAAGGAAGTTATAGACTCTTTATTTTTCTATCAGCTAAGCATCACTAGAACATGTTGCCTAGAAGCCTCAATAGTAGTTTAATTTTTGCCACAATTATCCCAGCCCAATGGAGTACCGTGCTACAGTTATCTCTTCTTGTTTGGCCTTATGTACCTTGTTTTATGATTTGTAAATTTGTAGACACTGCCAACTTGAGAATAGTTTGGGATGCAAATTCTAAATCTTATGAGCAGTCCTGAGTACCCACTGGACATTTGCGGTTCTGTTGAGTTAATTAGCCAAGACATATAGTTTGCATCAGTTGAGCATAGGATTACCATTGGCTAGTTTAGGGTTGTCTCCAGTAACATATTCTTGTAGTCATGATAACCGATGTGCAAGACCTTGACCATGCAATTTGGTTGGGACCATCAAGTTTTTGTAATGAAGGATTCTCTAGCAGCAATCCAAACTTACTGGTTCTCTTCTTCCATTTTTTTCTTTTACTTTCTCTTTTCTCTTCAAGTGAAAAAATGGATTGTCCAACATCAACGGTTAGATGTGCAAAGCTTCTAAGCAGTTTGGCTATATAGGACCATTGCTTTTCCATATCTGTGGTGCCATTCATCAACTCCGTTACGATCCACGAGGCAAGAACAGATGAATTGACCTTCTGATTCTCACATCCGAGTTTTGCTAATTTTCTGCTTCTCACATCTAAGTTGGTTTTTTCTGTCTGGATTGCCTAGACAAAACACAACCTTGAGGATAATGGTTTTGAGTTTGCAGCCCTCGGTGAAGTCAGCTGTAACTGAAGAAAATATGGGATCCTTTTTATTCTTTTGATAGAAGAAGTAATATTAAGAGAAAGGAAGATAATATAATCATGGAGAATAAGACATCCTCCAAACAGTAACACTAGAATGGACAATAAAGACAAAGGAAAATGGTCAAGATGTGGGAGGGCAACAATTGTCCCCAGTTCCAGTGGACCTCAGTCAGAGAATGGTTGGGATAACTGCTGTGAGCTTTAGCCCAAAAGGTAGACAGAAAAGTCAGTCTGTCCTACATCTCTTGAAATGACGAATAATGATTATCAAAAAATTCCGACCCTTCTTGCCCACAACTGGTCCCAAAGGGAAGGACCTTTTCCTCTTGGGGTAGAAAAATCATGATCAGGATAGCAGACTCATCACTATAGAACTTGGGGGTGGGTCTTATATCAAAATGGATTGATGGTATTTTTTATATTTTTTATTTTATTTTGATTTAAAATTTATCAATAGTGGTTTGTTGCCGTATGATCCTTATTAAAATTAGTTACTTGTCATCTAAAAATTGAAAAGATAACAATGGCTATCCAATTTATCAAAAATAAAGTAGCAAGGGAGCAAGTAGTAAGGCTCTTGGCAACATTTACTCAATTCGAACTCCTGCTTCATGAAGGTTTTAGTAGACTGCAACCTGAAGAAAGGTACAATAGGCATTATTATCGAACTTCCTAGGCAAGGAGCTCGGAAGCAGCCTGGATTTTAGTAGGATTTCGTCCTCAAAAAACTTTACCAGTGACTTGCACAAATTGGAAAATTGCCTTTGTGGGACTTCTCACTTAAAGCCTTTGCTCTTCGTCCTTTATGCAGCAATGCCTGTGCTGGTCTTGGCTTTTGCTTTGGCATTACTCTTTTCATGGAGATACTTCTCATTTTTATTTAATTCTCCTTGGGCCTTATTTCAAAAAAAGTTTTTTTTTTTCTCCTTGGACCTTCTCCATTCCTATCATAGAAATCATGAATTTCTTCACCTGCTGCTCTATCAGGATTATAATTTTGGATACCACCTCTTTGATGAATGACTTCATCTATTTCCAGGCTTCTTCTATCAACTTTTTGTTTGGAATTTTCTTTTCTTTGTAGTCTCCCTTAGGTTTTTAGAGTACACTTCCAAACGACTATTGGGGTTCTCTTATGATGCAATCCAAGAACAATAATAGCTGTAGCACATGATATTAGCATCCATGAATTTATACACGAGACACAACATTTCATGCATTTTTATAAACACACAGAAGGTCCTTTTGACTTTATTCCTCCAATACATAAAGTGGTGATGTGATCTCTTTCCTACAATTCTTCTTGGTCTTGGCATCGGTACCGAGACAAGCTAAACTCAAAATTGGTGTTTTTCCTTGAAATCAAAAGACATGCAATAAATGAACTTTTGGAAGTTGCCATTTTGCAGGGAGATTGATGTGCACTATTGTGAGTGATATACATCTATTAGATAGTCGATGTATGTTAACTACTTGTACGTGGCACTTCCAATGTCGTATGCCTATTAAATACTTGAGATATCTTACCGAGTTTTAGGTCCAAACACATGCAAAAGGGCATCTTAGTAACAATTTCAAGATAACTACACGGGAAGTCAATAGGTAGACATATGCTCCCATGACCAAGAGTTACTGACATTTTTCAAGAATTCCATTATAACAAGAAGAAGCTCTGATACAAAACCCGAGATCAACGAATGCAAAAAACTTTCATAATTTCAATTGGCGTAAAAAATTTGATTTCTGGATAAACTCTTTTTACTTAATTTACAATCAACATGTGATTGAAATTAAGGTAATAAAAATAAATGAATTAATTAGAATGCCACAAAAAAAACCTTGATTAATTAATATCTATTGAAAAAAAGAGATTGATGAAAAGGCCACAAGTTACCTTGATAAGTAGACACCAATTTCTCACTCAACAAAAAAGTTGAAGAAAATCTCATTAGTTGAAAATGTAGAAAGTTTTATATTTTATTGACTTCAAACTTGAATTCTTGAATGATTACAACCAAATTCTTGAGATTTATTTATGGTTGAAGGCCAAGTGAAATATAAGTAAATAAAATCTCCTAATTAATTGTACAAGCTTGACTAGGAAACTAAATCAAAAATAAAATAATGAAAAAACTATAATTAGGAAAGATTTAATCCAAATAGTGTAGATATGTCGCCCCCTTTAGAAAACCTCTTTATTGATGAAAATCCCTCTTTAATTAATGAGATTCTTCAGTAAAGAAAAGGAAAAGTAGGGCCGGCTTTAAAGTGGACACCTAATCTGTTCAGAATCTTCCTAAATCTATGAAGTCCATGCCTTTAAATGCTTGAGATTTGGTTTTCTCTTTTTGAAAGATTAAGATCAGCTAAGGAGGATCTTTTGGATTCAGTGGTGATTCTCCTTGAATTTGGTTGCTGTTTTGGGATAAAAAATTTAAGGTAAGAATATTTTCTTGTTTGGGAAAAGATCCCTCACAGTTTAAGGGAATTTCCCATAGGCTTGTCCCAGCTTCTTCCCCTAATTGGGTGAGGATACATGACTGGATTTGCCCATCACCGAATGGGCTTATTCTTCTTTTCTTGTGGGTTTCCATGGTCATATCAAGCTCTTTTCATACCTCTTAATATTTGTTAATTAGTTGTGGTTGATAGTTGATGTTCTCCCAACTCGAGTGGAATTGGTTTCTTGTTTCACCATGCCATTAGGCTAATAAGAAACCATGAGCCCACAATGTGTGAGAGTGTTGATTATGATATTTTATTATTTAATTAGTTAAAATGATGTAATTAGAATTCTACTAAATTAGTAATATCATATAATTAGAATTCTAATAAAATAAGAGTTTTCTTATCAGTAGGTTAGAAATTATATAAATACTTCAGGTGTAACAACATAAATGGTAAAAAATAAAGTTAATATTTTTTTTTCTCTAAAAATCAATACAGTATCAGAGCCAAAATAAGACTATTTTAGCATTTTAATTTTAGGATCTTTTTTTCCAAATCATAAAATAACACAATAGGTTAAGTTGGTACTCATTTATCTAGATCTACTTTCATCACCACCCTAAACAGTTTCAGAGACACATTCTTGGTCTCTTCCTGTGTCCGCCGGCCGCCAGTAGCAGAAGTGCGTGAGCTACATGCGACACCAGTAGTAGAGGGGCGTGAACAACACGCATCACTAGAAGCAAAAGTGCGTGAGCGACAAGTCGTCGGAAAACCCTATTTGGCTCGAAAATCGTCGCATTGCTGCAAGAATATCCCGATGGGGATAGATTTGGTCATGTCGCACGTGATCCAGCCTTCTGGTTTTGTGCACGGGGTCTAGTTTCACAGATCGCTGCATGACTCCGTTTAAATCTTATTCTCTGACCCGGTTTGGTCTCAAATTGCGCTGCGTACCAGTAGATCTCCTTCCTACGTGTGACCTAGTTGCGATTGGACCTCTGTTCTCCTTGTTCCACGCGTCTGTAGGTCCAACTCTCTCAGATTCGGGTCAAATTTCGGGATATCGGCGGTAATCCAGTTTTTCCGCATGCAAGCCACTATGACCAACCTTTTCTGGTCATTTTTTCAGCTCTTTAGCGTGCATCCGCCTATGGTTTCGCAATACCGACGCTTATCTGGTTCCTCCGCGCGTGAGCTGCCCTGACCAGCCATCTCTGATGCTTTTTCTAGCTCCTCCGCATGCGTTTGCCTTTGGTTTTGCAATTTGGCGTAGATTTGCTTTCTTCGCTTGCGAGCAGCCCCAACCAGCCTTTTCTTGCCTTTTTTCTGGCTCTTCCATGCACATCCGCCTTTGATTTTGCGATCTGGCACCGATCCGGCTACTCCGCACGCGAGTTGCTCCGACTAGCTTTTTTTGGTTCTTTTCCGACTCTTCCATGTGAGTCCACCATTTGTTTGCAATTTAGTTTGCAAGTTGGACATGTGTAATATCATTGCACCAGCTTGAAGAAGGTGTAGAATAAGATATTTTATTATTAAATTATTTTATTATTTAATTAGTTAATATGATGTAATTAGAATTTCACTAGAACAGTAATATCATGTAATTAGAATTCTAATAAAATAAGATTTCATTATCAGTAAATTAAAAATTTTATAAATATCCAGATGTAACAAGATAAAGGGTGAGAAATAAAGTTAATATTTTTTTTTCTTCAAAAATCAACAAAGAATATTATTATAATAAAAAGAGTAGAAAGAGTGGAATCATTCTAATTATATTTGAAGTCTATGTCTTATTCCAACAGAATAGCCAGTGTGACCAGTGGGATTTAACAGATAGTCAATGTCAATGTGATAATAACAATGTTGGGCTTGAAGCCTTAGAGAGTATAAAACTAATTCGCAGCTGGCTTATAGAGTATACAAGGATTTGCCACTCAGTGATAGCCAGGAATCCTTAGATTGTGCAACTGTCTGTCCTTGCCGGA